AAATACTAATCTCATTACTCATGGGATTCTGATAGCCTACACGTCCTTTATGGACTTTGACGTAAAGATGTTGTCCAACTCTAAATTGGACTTCAAGTAATAATTTATATTAAAATTATTAATCTCATTANCCCCAACTGGTTTTCATTAGGTTAAAGAAAAGGAACCGGAAAAAAAAAACAAGTTCTAAATTGGACATTTACATTATATAGGAAAATACTAATCTCATTACTCATGGGATTCTGATAGCCTACACGTCCTTTATGGACTTTGATGTAAAGATGTTGTCCAACTCTAAATTGGACTTCAAGTAATAATTTATATTAAAATTATTAATCTCATTATTATGGGGATGAAATAACCGACGTTGACTTTCACGTCAATCCAATTCTTAATTGGATTGATCAAATATATATATATATATATTTCAACCAAGAGATATAATTTAATTTTCTATTCCAAAAATAGAAAACTACAATCTGTTCATAATATTAATTATATCCTCTGTGCTAGCAAAGAATATTATAATATTTCATTTGGACTAACTAACTAAATTTATTTGACTAATTAAATTCTTTAATTTAATCAACAAATAATAAAGTAATTAATCCTTTAGCAAAGATTAGAACACTCGTTAGTGTGCGACCCCATAGGTTCAATACTAAGCTGGTAGTAAATTAATCACATTAGTATACTAATCAAGGGTGACGTCTAGCAACACTCCTTAACGACCGGATAGCTTGAAGCATACAATTTACTCTCAAGAACCAGTAGAAGAATAATGTAGTAATTCCTTCTGTCCTTATAGCTTTGGGTCACCCTAGGATATGGTTTAATTGTCAAATCCTAATAAGCGACCAACTATGTGTTCATGTCAAATATATTCGACCATTGAATGACCTAAGAAACTCTTTTCTTCTTTCATTCAATTGCCCTGGTCAAGGTCTTAATTTGGTCGTTTATAATTCATGACAACATGGAGCTTAAACTCATTGCCAAGAGTTGACAGATTCTATCTTGATCAATCACTAATTCTACAAGTATTTAATCGTACCCAATATCCTTTCAACTATCGCCCTAGGGCCATAGGTGTCTGGTATTAAAGCACAACAAATAACTTGGCAATTACTATGACGATCTCAAGTCAAAGAAAACTCTTACATCACATTCTTCAAGAGAATATCCTATTGACAGTTTATGGTAATTCTAACCATTAGGAATTATCCAATGAATCGGTTCAATAATCATATCTCTATATTCATCATCTATCTATGTGATTTAGTTAATGAGATCAACTAATATTTATCTTATAAAGACAATCACATAAATATTGATCTAACCGGATTACTAATGTCCAAATTAATAATCCTACGATCAAGAACGAATTTAGATTAAATTGTAAGAGACTTTGCTCTCATTATCATGATCTCTATCACGATGACAAATCTCAAAATTTAATCAAGGATCTTATCAAATTAATCAAACAATTAATAATAACTATGATAAAAGAATGCCATATATTTTTATATCAAATAACGTTCACAAAAATATGTTCAAATCATCAAATATGAGTTTGGATCTAGGGCATATCTACTATATTCCTAACACATTCTTCTCCTCCTGTCCCACTGCATCTCTCTTTGTGTAACAAAATTCAGAGGATATTTTATGTTGTCCTGAGATGAATTTAATTGGAGAAATATGGTAAGTTAGGATTCATATAGCCAACCCAACTTGTTTGGGACTGATGCATAGTTGTTGTTCTCATATTAAATTTTACAGAATTTTCTGAAATTCTACTTCATTCTACATCAGAATTTCAGATTTTTCTAACTTTAACTAATACAGTGTAAATGTTAGACACTATTTTATGTACTTTTTCTGTCTACTTTCAGCCACTCATATTATCATGAAGGTGTCTGGTTAACATTGCTTTTGTTTATCTTTAATAGTCATGTAAATATATGAACTTATTACTTATTTACGTTAATTTAGCCACACCCTATCATCCTTGTCTTCCTCTTCTTTATTATAGAACTTTCACCCATCGTATACCATGCTTATTGTATGTCATTTAACAGCATTTATCTATTTCTTATCAGATTGAACACTAAATAGAACTGATTGAACAATGTAATGTCAACCTATTGGCACATTACTGATCCTCATCTAGGGCCTCTAACCATGAAATTAGACATGGATTTTTGAAATAAATTCATAGTTTTTTCCGTAAAGATATTGAGTACAAGGCATTGCCAATTTATGAACCTTTGCCTAAGCATTTCTGTCTTCATTTGATAGAGCGCATTTTAAACGGGAACTGTCTGATGAGGTGTCATATTTATTTGTCATTAGCACCTTCTTCCTTTGATTGAGTACAAGGACTGACACTTTTGTGTCTAACTAGACAGCTGTGATATCTGGTTTCTCATCATTGCCATGGCTTATAAAGCCCTTATATGGATTCATCAGGTTGGATTCAATTTGCATTTCATCCTTATTCATCTACTAATTATTCCCAGCAACTAGTTCTTTATTACTTGAATTTCGGTCTTGTAGTGATTCCTTCCCACTCTTTGGTTACCGAAGAAGATCGTACTTGGTATTATCAGGACTCCTTGGAGCCCTCTCATGGGTTTTTATGGCCACCTTTGTTGACAGCAAGTACGGTGCTGCTTCCTGCTTACTTATTGGTTCTCTTTCTGTTGCTTTCTCAGATGTTGTAAGTTCCTTTTTGTTACTAGTTGGTTTCAGTTATTTGAGTCTCATGATGAGTTTGTTACGAGATGCAAGCCTGTTCGCTACATAGTTTATCTTAACTGTTTTTGAGTTGGATCAAGAGATTGACAGCAGTCTTTTTGGGCTTTGAACCTTCAATATGGGTTAGGAGGTTGTGAAATAGAAACCAGCTTGTATAAAAACTACGTGCCCTAAGGTCATTGTCCTACGTTATTCTAATTCATCAAATTCACAAGTTCTTGCTAATTACGCCTAAGCTGGACCTGAATAAAGTAAATGTTTTGCCTATTGAAATTCTGAATGAAGTCTCTCAGATGCATCTCTGGAAAAAAGGGACAGAGACTAAGATCTGAGGCATGATCTGAAGTAAAAAGTCTATTAAACAGTTGAGTTGAAATAGAAAGATATTCTGATAAATGTTCAAAAGCTCAATTATTGGATTGTGTGACCACCTCATCCAAATATTTAAACTATTAGAGAGGGCATATTTTTATTGACTTATGTATGCCTTTAACGCTCCGTTCTTTCACGTGCAGTCAATGTTCTTTTCTGTAGACCAAGCACGTGAAATTTTTTGATAAAAGTTGGCAGTGAGACTGGAAACCGGGACCTCTCCTGTACCATATTGAATTGTGTCATAGCCTCATTTAAAGCACCCACTTTTTTCAATTGTGTATGTCTTAAGAAAAGATGTATACAAATGTGAAATTGCTTCTTTAATCAGTATTTTCTACGAATAGACTATGTTAATTCCTATGGTGTATCCTTATATTTTTTTTTAAAAAGGACTCCTATGGTGTGCTGAACAAGGTTTAGGCAGTGTTTGGTCCAAGTTGCAATAGGAACATACACAAACTATCTAAATGAAGTTTAGATGCCTATAAGCTGTTGTATCTCTCATTATCTATGGGTTGTTATTATTTACACTCTGAAGAAGTATGAAAGAGAATCAAGAGAATGATCATACTAACATGCATTGTCCATTTTAGTCTTTGGGATATTGCTGACTGAAGTAGGCAAATGACTTGATCTTGGTTTCCTAAACCTGTAAGTTGCTTCCTTAATGTTAACCTTGTCAGAGAGAACTAACTACTTATAACAAATGACTTTTCCAACCTGCCAGGTTACCTGTTCTACTTTTATGAATTTCTGTGGACTATTGAGACCTCAAGCAAATTTTGTATCTTTTTAAATCATGTGTTTTTTCTCACTGCTAATGTCAGTGGCATCTGTTAATAGGAACTCTTTCCTCCTAAGAAACATGGTATGTCTTTGTTGTTGAATGATGAATTTTCAAATCAGAACCATAAGGAAGTAGAAGGCTATGACACTGCTGCTTCTTATATTCTGGAAATAATAGCACAACAGCATAGCTTAGAGTGAGCTATTATCGGTTTGAAATGGAATAATACATCACATGGATTTTCAGTGCAAATTTCGAGGATGTAAGTTGGATAAACTAAATAATCTTTGTATCACCAATTTTACGGGTTAGCTGGATCACAGGCTATTGCGCCACTCATTGCCAGACCCCTCTATCATAATCCCTCTTACATGCCAGGGACGAGGTTCTTGAGCTTGAGTTTTAGTTATTACATATACCTATATGAAATATTTGCTGGCAAATGGAATGTAGCTTATCTTTCTTTTGCTTGAAGTGTTCCTCTTGCTGCAGAATATAAGATTGAGGTATGATGTAGGTCGTAGACTCCATGGTTGTTGAGCGGGCACGTGGTGAGTCTCAAAGCATGTCAGGATCTCTTCAGTCACTATGCTGGGGTTCTTCAGCATTTGGGGGAATTGTCAGTTCTTACTTCAGTGGCTCCCTTGTGGATTCTTATGGTGTGAGGTAGGATAATCAGTCTTTTGAGATATTGTATGCCTGTATTGGTCTGAGCGACGTCAAGAGTCTGTTAGTTAATTATCTTTTGGTTACGCCAGGTCCGTTTTTGGTGTAACAGCATTACTTCCGTTGATAACATCTGCAGTATCTGTACTTGTGAAAGAGGAGCCTGTACATGGCCCAGCAAGGGGTCTTTCTTTAGGCAATGGCTTCTTTGAGAGTTCAAAAAGTAGCATTTTCCAGTTATGGGGAGCTGTTAAGCAGCCTAATGTTCTTTTTCCCACGCTATTTATTTTCCTATTTCAGGCAACACCACAGTCAGGTTCTGCTATGTTTTATTTCATGTATGCTCAAATCCAGGTTTAAGTTTCCATTTCCAAATAACTATTACATGCAAGATGCAAGTTTTTAACTGAAGTTTGTTGATTGTAGAACAAATAAACTTGGTTTCACTCCAGAATTCTTAGGCCGCGTTAAGCTGGTTACTTCAGTTGCATCACTGATTGGTGTTGCGCTGTATAACAGTTTCTTAAAGAATGTTCCTTTAAGGAAAGTATTCCTTGTGACGGCTATTATTGGTTCAGCTCTTGGGATGACTCAGGTATTTGTCCCAAAATATCTTCTGTGCTTCAGGTCTATGTTGTGTCTTCCCTGTTGGCCCTAATTACTGGTGCTTTAGATTGACTTAAGTGTAACTGGTATCTTGATAGGTTCTACTGGTAACCGGATTGAACCAGCATTTTGGCATTAGTGATGAGTGGTTTTCAATTGGGGATTCGTTGATCCTATCTGTTCTTGGTCAGGTAATCTTCTGTCTTGAAATGATTCTTTTGAGTATAGAATTATGGTATTCTGTCACGTGGCAACTATTTTACAACTGTCTAACTTATACATTTTTCAGGCTTTTTTCATGCCTGTTCTTGTATTAGCTGCAAGAATATGTCCACTGGGAATGGAAGCAACTTTCTTTGCAACCCTTATGTCTATAGCCAATGGAGGAAGTACCCTTGGGGGCCTACTCGGTGCCGGTCTAACGCAGATCTTTGGTGTCACCAAGGACAGATTTGATAACTTGGCTCTCCTAATAGTTGTCTGCAATCTCAGCTCTCTGTTGCCTTTACAGCTACTTAGCCTCCTTCCTCGAGATGTACCTGATTCAGAGGAGAATACTGATATTGAGATGATATCATCTTAAATTCCTGCCTTCTTTACATACCATGAAGTTACTCATGTGGCCTCTGACATGGTTGATTGTTTTAACTAACTTTAACTACAGCTTTTCGGGTTAACTGTAGGTGAGAACTCACTCATTTAAATTAGGAATGCTAATATGAACGACTAAAGATGAGTTATGATCTCAAGTCATCACTTGAGACGATAACTATATGGATTAGTAATATAGTACTTTTTAAGCAGCTAGTAGGACCCATTTTGAGCCGTTTCCAATGTAACATTTATATTGCCGGATGGACAACAATTATACAGATGTGGTGTCTATGAACCCGTGTTAGTTATTTTCTGAGGAAAGGTTTGCTACCATATTTTGCCTATTGACGAGAGTAGCCGTATTGAATTAGGTTTTCGGTTGGATATTTTATTTTATTTCTTGAACCTATTCTCCTGCAGCTGTAGCAAGAACGACAATTTTGTAGAAGAAAATTCATTTTCTGTTTCGAGGGTGAGGGTGGGGTATATATGGATGTTTTCTTCAGAAAAAAATGTGGCTTGTCTCCAAATATGAATGTAAGGGTCTTGTCTTGCTACTTGTTAGTTTTTGGACAATTAATTCGAGATTGCCACTTCATACTCCTTCATTGTTTTGTGGCAAAAGCTGTCGCATGGGATGTTGGGAAGTAGGAGGTTGGTACAAGTAAATTGACGTTCCAATCATTGAACCAACTTCAATATCTAAAATTTCTTGAGTGGAGAGAAGTATAGAAAATGGGGAAAAGGCCACCCCTCAAAAAGTAATCCAAAGTGTACACCGGTTCTAATCAATACTATTTTAAACCCTTACCCAACAACTCCAAGTTTGTGGTCATTTGGCAATATTTAGAACTCACTAATCTGATAATCAAAGACTACTTACACAAAATACAAGTACTTAATATTTCTTCCTCCATTCGTGTAATTTGACTAGCCATTATTAAAAAGTGCAATGATTAGTAGTATTATTATTAGCAGATGTAAGTAACAATTGTATAACGGATGAGGGAATAATGCAGATAATAACCAGATGCGGTTTTAATTATTGTTCCAATAATATAGTCGGGGCTATAATATTTAGTAACTGTAGTGCATTCAGCATTATGCTATATTACTATATTCTGATGGATGGTTTTTGTTCTAATGTTATAATGGAATATTAGTTTGGTGGCTGGAATTGAATGGTAGCATCCAAAATGTCAATCCCCTAAAGTTAGAGAGTTTCTCGTGAGCAAATCTTTTTATAGAGAATCCACTCGTGAAAATATTCATTGTAAAGAGTGAATGTTTATAAGACTTTTATATTACGTCTGAATAAATGGTGAATTACTCAACTTCTTCTGTGGGCTTAAGTCTAGACGGATTTTCACTCAAATGTTTTTTCTTTGTCTCCATTGAGCTGAATAGAAGGGGGATGACTCTCTAACTCGCCCTGCCGCACATCCGTACCGCCCCACTGTCATCCCTAGGGATGAGCAGTTGGTCAGAAAAATCAATATTCCATGGTCAGGAGGGAATTGCAAAGATAAAAGTATGAGGAAAGCCATGTGGAGAATATTAAATATAAGAGGAATCACAGATTAAAGTTCCGACAAACACTCCTTTATTGATATATATAATAATGAGGAAAACAATAAAATGATGCATACTCGGACTGGATTTGGAGCTTTATCCATTGCAGAGGAATTATTGATACCTATAAATGAACTCCCTGTTGTATGAGGCTTAAAAAGAGGGTGAATGGGAAATAAAGGAAAATGAAATTTTTAAGTAAAATTTTAAGTTTCCTTCCTTGGCGAAGGGACATTGTCCCATATTGAAAGAGGAAGAGTTTTTTTATGGGTGTATAAACGATTGCTCTTCTTCTAGCTCTTAAAGAGTTGAGAAGAAGGCAAGTCTCACACCGTCGTTGTCGCTCGGCTTCGACTTTGGCTTTGGTCAAACGATTGATTGATTAGTTTTTTGGACCAACTTTATTTGTTAATAGTAAAATATTAACAGAAATGTTATTAAATATTTGTTTTAATAACAGAATATTAATATTAAATCCAATCCGTTTTTCAGTTGTGTAACTGAAAATTAAACTATCCTTTTCAATTTTACCTTTTTATTTTCCCTCTTTATTGTTGAGTAAATAACCATTTATGTTATGTCATTTATGTTGTGGCCATTTTGCATAAATAGCCATTCTGAAGAGTTGCACCTCTTCAGATTCCAGCTCAACTTTGGCTATAAATACAAGACTATTCTGCTCACAATTTTCATACAATTTTTTTGAGTTCTTCTCTTTTCTTCCGCATATTTTAACTTCAAAGAAAACAACAGTAAGTGTGATTTGCTACCGAACTTTGTGTTCGCTGAAACACTGGGGTTTGAAGTACCACTACACCAGTGTGTAATTCGTTCTATCATGAGAGGAAATAATCCATAATCCTGGGTACTAGGAGGGGATTAAATTCCTTAAGGAAACACTGTGAATTCAGTGGGCTCGAATTGGTTTTTTGTTATTTCGTTTACTTTTCTGTTTATATATTATTCTACTTTGTTTTTCCAGAATTAGTTTACAAATGCAGTTTACTAACACGCTTAAGGAATTTAAAATATTTTCTGTATTTGTAGTCACTGTTTCTGGAAAGTAAAACCTTTGTGGTTTTGTACTCTATTGGAGATTAAAATCTATGTAATTTTAACGTTTGTGTCATTCTTTTACAAAAATGACTAATGATAATGTGAACTAAGCTGTTCCAATGGTGACTGCCAATGCCTCAACGAGCAGAACAACACCGACAACATTGGCATCGGCGGAGAAACCCGAAATTTTTTTCGGGATTGATTTCAAGCGCTGACAGCAAAAGATGTTCTTCTATTTGACTACTCTAAGTCTCCACAAGTTCATCAAGGAAGATGTTCTTGCGCTGTCCAATGAAACTCCAGAAACTAAACGCTTTCTCGTGATTGAGGCATGGAAGCATTCAGATTTTTTGTGAAAGAATTATATTTTAAGCGGGCTGGAGGATGCTTTGTATAACGTCTACAGTGGCGTGGAAACGTCAAAAGAACTGTGGATTGCACTTGAAAAGAAACACAAAATCGAAGATGTCGGGTTGAAGAAGTTTGTTGCTACAAAGTTTTTGGACTACAAAATACAAAATGGTAGATAGCAAGTCTGTTATTACCCAAGTCCAGGAATTGCAAGTGATTATTCACGATCTCCTTGTTGAAGGTATAAATCAAATTAATACTGATGTTGAAAGTAGTAAGCTTAGTATTTTTACTAACAGAAATTTCATTGAAGGTCTTGTCATCAATGAATCATTCCAAGTAGCAGCGATGATTGAGAAGTTGCCTCCTTTGTGGAAGGACTTCAAAAACTACTTGAAACACAAAACGCAAGGAGATGTCCCTTGAAGATCTCATTGTTCGGTTGAGAATCGAAGAGGACAACAAAGCTGCTGAAAAGAGAGGTTGTGGAAACTCAAAAATAATTGGAGCAAATATTGTTGAAGAGAACAAAAAGAGGAAGAAGGCTTCTGGACCAAAATACAACCCAAGCAAGAAGCTATTCAGTGAAAATTGCTACAACTGTGAAAAAACCGGACACAAATTTACGGAGTGTCGTGCTCCGAAGAAAGACAAGAAGAAGGGACAAGCAAACATGGTTGAAAAACATGATGATGTTGATGACTTGTGTGCCATGCTTTCCGAATGCAACTTGGTGGACAATCCTAAAGAGTGGTAGATTGATTCTGGAGCCACTCGCCATGTTTGTGCAGTTAGAGAAGCTTTTGCTACTTATTCTCCTGTTGGACCCGATGAGACGCTTTCTATGGGAAATGCTGCAAAGGCCAAGATTGAAGGATGTGGGAAGATATTTCTCAAAATGACTTCCGACAAAGTGGTGACTTTGAACAACGTCCTTCATGTTTCCGAGATTAGGAAGAATTTAGTCTTTGCTGGACTTCTTGTTAAGAATGTTTTTAAATGTGTTTTTGTTTTCGATAAGGTTGGAATAACTAAAAACGAAATGTTTGTAGGAAAAGGTTACCTCACTGAGGGCCTTTTCAAGCTGAATGTAATGGTTGTTGAAAATAATAATAAAATTTCAGCTTCGTCTTACTTACTTGAGTCACATGAATTATGACATATACGTTTGGGTCATGTTAATTATAAAACCTTGAGAAAAATGATTAATTTGGAAGTATTGCCTAAATTTGAATGTGACAAATCAAAATGTCAAATATGTGTGGAATCTAAGTATGTTAAACATCCTTATAAGTCAGTTGAAAGGAATTCAGATCCTTTAGACTTAATTCATATAGATATTTGCGATATGAAGTCAATACCATCTCGCGGTAGAAAGAAGTATTTCATAACTTTTATTGATGATAGTACTCGATATTGCTATGTTTACTTACTTAATAGTAAAGATGAAGCAATAGACGCATTCNTTTGAATGCGAAAAATCAAAATGTCAAATATGTGTGGAATCTAAGTATGTTAAACATCCTTATAAGTCGGTTGAAAGGAATTCAAATCCTTTAGACTTAATTCACACAGATATTTGTGACATGAAGTCAATACCATCTCGCGGTGGAAAGAAGTATTTCATAACTTTTATTGACGATAGTACTCGATATTGCTATGTTTACTTACTTAATAGTAAAGATGAAGCAATAGACGCATTCAAGCAATACAAAAATGAAGTTGAAACGCAACTTAACAAGAAAATCAAAATGATAAGAAGTGATAGGGGTGGTGAATATGAATCTCCTTTTGAACAAATATGTTTAGAATATGGAATTATTCATCAAACAACGGCCCCTTACACGCCCCAATCCAATGAGATTGCAGAAAGAAAGAATCGTTCATTAAAGGAGATGATGAACGCATTATTGATAAGTTCTTGTTTGCCACAGAACTTGTGGGGGGAAGCCGTTCTTACGGCTAGCCGAATACTAAATCGAGTACCCCATAGCAAAACACAATCCATTCCATATAAAAAATGGAAATGAAGGAAGCCCAACTTGAATTATTTTAAAGTGTGGGGGTGTTTGGAAAAATTGCAAGTTCCTAAACCCAAAAAGGTAAAAATAGGACCGAAAATTGTTGATTGTGTTTTCATAGGATATGCGATAATAGTAAAACATATCGATTTCTGGTTCATAAATCAGAAAATCCTGACATTCATAATAATACGATTATAGAATCAGATAATGCTGAGTTCTTTAAAAATATATATCAGAATAAAAAGGAATGTGAGTTGATTGGTGAAGGATCTAAACGACTTCGGGAAGAAACAAAAGAAAGTATACTTAACCAGGAGGATCCAAGACGTAGAAAACGT